GACACCCATTAAGTTGAGGTATATCCTTCAATAGGTTCCACAGACAGTATGGTCATGTGTTACACAACTGACACCCATTAAGTTGAGGTATATCCTTCAATAGGTTTTACAGACAGCATGATCATGTGTTACACAACTGACACCCATTAAGTTGTGGTATATCCTTCAATATATGATCAGTGTTAGACAACTGACATCCATTAGGTTGTGGTATATCCTTCAATAGGTTCCACACACAGTATCCTTCAATAGGTTCCACACACAGTATGGTCAAAGTGTTACAGAAGAGCTAAGCTCAGTCTCTGTATAAGCATCCAAAGATAACAATAAAGATGAAGAATTAGATGATGATGCTAATAATGAGATGATGATAGAGGACATAGAACTTTATTTGGTGACTCAGATGATTAGGATATTTTTTTTAAATTTGACATCATAATTCAAAATGTGGATTTTACTTTTAGTGTTTATTTATCAGATGTAAGGAATAAACCTATTGTGGGATATTGGTAATCATATCAATCTAGATGACTGTTTTTAAATGTGACCTAAAATAGGAGTCATTGATTTTCACATAGATGGATTTAAAATCCCAAGTACATCCCTTTTTTCTACCTATATGCTCAAATAATATGGACCTATTATCCAAATCATTTTGCAATGCAACTTATCTCTGCTAGGGTTGGTTAATTGTACTTAATGTCTTCAGTCACCATACAGTGTGTTCAGTCACCATACAGTGTGTTCAGTCACCATACAGTGTGTTAACTGCAAGTGCTACTCTAGTCACTTCAAGCTGAATATCATACCTGTCCTTGTAAGACTTATTCACTAATTTTAACACATGATCATGCAATTAATTGTATAAGGCTGTTTAACTACAGGGGGCATTTAACAAGTTCTAAATATTGATGTAGTACATACAAAAGAATTCCTAATTAGTGAACAGTGCATTCCAGTATCCCATCAAAGTACACCTTATGCACTTCTAAACACTTTCTCAGTTTGATTATCCAATTATTACATGCCAATTTGTATTCACTCTTTGGTATGTGATTCATACACTGAAAAAATGGAATTTACAAGCCAATAGTTTTTGGCCCATGCACAGTGGCAGGTAACTTTGGAAATGTCACTTAGGAATTAGATTTGCCTTATGACAAAGAGAGATATAAATCAAATGAAATTTTTTTATTGCATCAAACAAATAGTGTTTATACAGCAAAACACAAAATATAAAACAAATACTGGTTCATCAGACTTGGATAAAAATGGAAGAAATATACATACTAGTAAACATCCATGGTAAATAACTTTCATGGACACTTTTTCAGTGAGTAATATTTAATTTAACATTTTCAAATTATTAATACCCAAATAAATAGAGATACAAGTATTAAATGGTGAATACACTAAAGAAATGGATAAACACAGAGTATACTTTGTTTGCATTTTTGCAATGGCACAATAATGTAAATATATTTGAATTGACAGTATGTTTTACATAATGCAAGCATCTAGATTTTTAGTATTTCCCCTTAATTTATCACAATTTTTTATGTCATTCTTTGGATATGACCCCACTCTGCATGAATCAAATTTTCAGTATAACTTGTAACTGAGAGTATGTGATTGAGATTCTTAACATTCATGAGATTATTTAAATTGTTTATTTTTATTATTCAGTAAGAGACATGGTATCATCTAATGTCTAATCTTACCTAAAGCTCATATCACACGGAGACAACAAGTGAACCAATGATATAATAATGGGGTCATTCCAAGCTTTACCTAAAACACAGATTTACAAAAGCAGGCATGCTTAATTGGGCTTATGACAAGCATTTTGGTAATTGATGTGTTAATATGGTGGGAAGATGAGAGGCTTAGGAATAATCAGACCTGTGTCATGTATATTTATTTGGTATGGTTGACCTTTGTGCATGATTGAGGATAAAATCTTGCTGCATACCTGCTCATTGTACTGTTAGTAAGCTATAAATAGGTTGTTCACTTTTTAATATTTAAGATCCCTATTTAATTATGACCAAAAAGTTCTAGAAACAAATTTATGTTTGGGGAAATTTTCTGTTCAGATGATTTGAGTTTTTTTCAGAAAAGTTTATTGTAACATATGTCAGGTGGGGATGTATATGAGGTTATTGCAACATAGGTCAAGTTGGGATGTATAGAAGTTTACTTCGATATAGGTCAAGTGGGGATGTATATAAGTTTGTTGTGTCATAGGTCAAGTGGGGACCTATAAGTTTATTGCAACATAGGTCAGGTGGGCATGCATATAAGTTTGAGATAAACAAGATTAGTCTGGAATCATTTACCATTGTGTTGAAATTGAATTTAAGAGGAATTATTTATTTTAATTATTTCTTGGAATTAGAAAGCACTCACTGATACTCTGGACTAAACATCATTTTTGGGATTATTGTGAATTCATTCAAAGGCATTCTGGAATATATTGGTATATGGGCATATTCAGGGTTTGGTACAAAAGCAATCTGATTAAAATTAGATCTCTGCTGTCCTGTGTGAAGATCTGATGATTTATGGGTCATGTTCTGGTGATCTTTGAATTAGCCAATGGAAATGCAGCTTTCAAAAATCTGAAAGTGAATCAAATCATTTGGTACACATTTATGCTCTTATCCAGATACTAAGTCTCCAAACACAAAGATATAAGACTTCTGATTGGTTGATACAATTAGCAATTATGGTAATAATATAGGTTACCTGAACATGAGCCATAAATGGTTGATGTCACAGTCAGATCTTTATGTATAACTGGAAATCGGATTTAATCAGGTTGGGTACATAAAACACATTCAAGATTGTCATTCATAATTATCAGATGCATTTCCTCAGGAATCTGAACTTTCTGTATTGAAAATAGAAACCTATCTGTTGGGACAAATAGTTTTTTTAATTATTATTTGTCAGGTTCAACTTATTTCATATGTTATAGATATCAAAACATGTATAGAGTTAAGAAACATGTATAAAGTTAAGAAACATTCTCTTTGTATTTTCAGACATATGGTGTTCTGCCATATTTTGCCAACTACCGATTGATGGCAGAAATTTCAACTCCAATAGTCAATCAGAGGTGAGAGATGTCAAGAAGTGTCTTTTTTATTGTAAATTTATTAAGAAATCTTTTTCAGCAAAATTCATTGCCTGCAAAATCTTTGAAAGAAGCACTGGGCTATATAAAAATGGAAATTTTCCTGTGTAATGTGTTAGATATAAAAATTAATTAGAAATTTAAGGCATGGTTGTTTTTTAACAGTACTTACAATACAGCACTTACTATACCATGCTGAGTAAATGGGGCCTTTCCTAAGGACCCAATTGAGATTTCTTTTAGTACACTCCTAATTTTGAACATTGCTGACTTTATATCCTATATACATTATATGACTGTTGGTGTTGGTGTTGTTAACAGTTGAATGTCCCTTATAAACCAGAAATAAAATCCAGTAAAGTTGTAGAATCTTTCATTAGGCTAAAATAGTCTTAAAATAATATAATTGGAAATCACTTGTGTCAGACTGATTTTATCAGTTTGATAAAATAGATCCCTGTATTATGTACTTGCTTTAAAAATAAACTTTGCGTTTATTCTCATTTTTAAACGTTACATTATTTATTATTGGTAACTTTGTGTTTAAAGTGATTTAAAGACAGTTTGATGACATCATAAGGTTTGATTTTAACACAATTTGATGGTATCATATGGTCAGTTTTGTTTTCATGAACCTCATATAGCAAAGTCAACATTAAAGAATGTTTTTCCCTGGTGTCAAAATGTATTGTGCTAACCGGAGTCTAGTAAAGCTAGCATCAGACTGTTGCATTTTAGAATTTTAATTGTCTTTCCAGCTAGTAATACTTTACAAACTTTCATCCATTCCAGGTTCTAGTTGTTGTTTGAGATTTACTTCAGAACTGTAATTGTGTTCAGGACATTGAAAGGAGATATTAGACTAAACATTATTGCTTTAATTTATGTCTCTAATTCTCATTACAAAACTTTTTCTCATAGGAGACAAATGTGGTACAAATAGCAGACCAGCTAAACACAATAGTAAGAAACCCTCCAGTACTACCTGTGATCAACTAAATCTCATTAAATGTGGACCTTGAAAAGGTTATACAAATTAAGGCCAGTCTCAGCTGATTTAGCTAAAGCAACACTTCTTAGTAATTGGTTAAACTCATAATATGCAGCACACAAGAGTGCAGCTTACTTTTTGTGATGTCATTGATTTATGGAGGTGTGTTACAGTTCAACACCTGAACTTTTTTGGGCATTAGCAAGGGAAACAATATTACATTGTATGGTAAATATCTTGAATTTATCAATTTATTGTCCATTTCTTTATGTAAAAGGTAGATTCTTTATTAAAAAACAAAATGACTTTTGTAACTAATTGCACAGTATTGCTTTGCTAAAGTGCCATGATTGAAATAGATCTGAGTGATTGGAAATTATTTGGCTTTTTTCCAACACTTAGCACAGTTTAAATTTCATGACAAACTTCCCTGTTGATATACAGTTTTCAAGTAAAAAATGGAAAATCTTTATCAAGCTGATTTCATTTTCACCATTATGGTAATATCAGCAAGTTCTCCATTTACGCATGCCCTTAAACTAATAGTGAGAAGTTCAGGACAAATGCCTTCCACTGCCAATTTGCATGTATTTTATCTTGTATATAAAGCAATACTTGTCATTACAATATGCTGACAATAGTGTTGCATATGTGATGTGATTATGATTTTTAACATAGCTTTAACAATTTTTCCATCATATTGCTTCAATGTCTGCAGTGTGGCAGTTTATAGTGATGTCTAACACTGGGGCATCAGTCATCAGACTTGTAGCATGATGTCCCACCCAGTCACATTATCCTGACACCAGCCTCTTAATGTTGAGTGTCAAGCGAGGCAGCTGTTAGTACCATTTTTGTAAGTCTTTGGTACGACTCGACCGGGGATTGAACCTGTGACCTCCCGCATCCAAGGCAGACACTCTAACCACTAGGCCTCCAGAGCTGTTATTGTATATGTGACAGGACATTGTCATGAAATATGCTGGTAATAGTAACAAAATAGCAAATTGTCATGAAATATGCTGGTAATAGTAACAAAATAGCAAATTGTCATGAAATATGCTGGTAATAGTAACAAAATAGCAAATTGTCATGAAATATGCTGGTAATAGTAACAAAATAGCAAATTGTCATGAAATATGCTGGTAATAGTAACAATAGCAAATTGTTGTGAAATATGCTGGTAATAGTAACAAAACAGCAAATTGTCATGAAATATGCTGGCAATAGTAACAAAACAGCAAATTGTCATGAAATATGCTGGTAATAGTAACAAAATAGCAAATTCTAATGAAATATGCTGGTAATAGTAACAAAACAGCAAATTGTCATGAAATATGCTGGTAATAGTAACAGCAAATTGTCATGAAATATGCTGGTAATAGTAACAGCAAATTGTCATGAAATATGCTGGTAATAGAAACAGCACATTTTCATAAAGTAGGCTGATAATAATACAGTCCTACTTACTTATGTCAACATCACTTAATATTGATAAGCCTATCTCAACACAAAAACAAAGTCCCAATCCCTTGGTCTACTATTACTACCAAAATTGTCATGCTGATATAAAGATTAAAAATAAACATATATGTCAACAGAATTCCTTGGTCCCAGCTTGAACAAAGCCTTTGTTGTCTTGCCATTTATGTCCACAAGCTGCCAGTTCCTACCCATTCTTTGTTCAACAATTAGTTGACCTTGCCACCATGTTTTAATTTTACCACCTTTTCATTTTTATCAGCAAGTGGCCAGTTCCAACATGTACTTTATTCAACAATTAGTTGATTTTGGCAGCAGGCTTTAATATTGCAGTCAGATTAAAACAAATAAAAAGTAGCACAAAAACAGGCTTTTGTTTGGTTTTATAAAGTTGGTCTCTCCCTGGGATTTAAATAAAAGTAATGAAATCTCATACGATTCTTGCATTTTCCAAAGAGATCAGTGATTAAAACAGGTCTATTTTATTGTGAAAGTTTGTTTACAATGACTACCAACGGCAGTGTAAATGCAGATTAAATTTAGTCTCTGGAAACTAAATATCTGGCCTTTAAAGGAAGTTGGGGGTGGAGCATCTCTAAAAGATGTCTGTGAAATTTTTTTAATGTATTGAGCTGACATTGTTACAATATTGTGTCATAAGAATCATTTTCTTTTAATACATCATTTGTATGTGACAAAGCATACAATAGTATGCCTTCATTATTCGTACCAGCCGTATATCTCATTTGCTTTAATGTACTTTTCACGATGACTTCTGTAACTAAATACAAGTACTGTTTAAATCAACTTGTTGACAGGTTTTCATTTCACTGTGAAGAGCCTCATCTTCTTGGTAGCCTCAATAAGATGGGAACAGACTGACCAAAATCTGGGCAATTTTAAGTACAAGCACATGTACTTAAAGCATGTAAATAACTGTAATAAAGCCAACATTGAATATTGTAATGCTTTTCATATCAGGATGTGACTGATGCAATATTTTATTGTTGGTTTTATTACACAAAGATAACTAAAATATAATTTGTCAATATACAAGAGTCTTTCACACTGGTTTTGTCCTCATGTATAGTGGCAGAGTGGTTTAAAGTGCTCATAGTTATGGATCACTGCCATCTAACTTCTCTGTGTGTGAGTTTAACTTTACCTTTTTTCTGACCTCTCTTCCCCTCCCCCCCACCAATAAACACTTATCTTAACATCCACCTCAGGCCTGCATGTCGACATAAGTGGGTAGGACTGTACCAGCAAAAATGTCATGAAATATACTGGTAAAAAACAACAAATTGTCAACTCTAAGACAAAGTGTGCAATAATTTTTAACCCTATGTCTTCCATATTTAAAGTAATTTGCATTTAAAATAATGGTGTAAGCTTTTCTGGCTAAGTAGTAAATTGGTCAGTTATTTTTATGTCATTTGGTGCTGATTTTAATTTTTTTAAAAGCACATTAACTCATTAATGTTTTGAGATTGTCATTTTTGCCTGAAATGAGAGTAGGTAATGCATTTTTGGGGGTTGCTTTTAAACACTTTCAAACACATTAGCTTCCAGTAGATTTTCATTTAGACATATGCCTAGATCTGTTAGAAACATTGGCTAGTTTTTGCACACATTTGCAGAAGGGTAAAAGTCCCATTTTTAAATTTTTTTTTATAGCTTATTGGACACATCATTTTTGTGCCATGGCCACATTTTACTCCAAATCACCAACTTCACATCCTACTTTTTGTAACGGTTCACCTGTATCTGTGCACAGTTCAGTCAAGTCTCCTTAGATCTTTGGCCAAAAAGTGAAAAAATCCAGATGCAAAATCCATTCCAACAGGAGGCAAAGCCTTGGTGAAAATTGGATCTCAAAAAATGTTTCTCCTCTGTATTGTGCAGTGAGAGTAGAAAGTCCAAATTATTTGAAATCATTGTAGAGCTACATCTGTCTACTTTTCTGTAAAACCACTTTGATGCATCTTAAATGACTTTGATGCTACAGAGCTCAGAAGTAGGGTACAACATACTGATGCATAAATGTGGCTTGATGAGTTTTAAATTGTCATATTTTGTTTGGAATGAATAAGTGTACTGTAGTTCCAGCTTACTGTTGGAAATTAAAATAACAGATAGATGCAAAGAACTATTTGATACAGAGATATTTTGTAACTGAAGTGTGGATAAGATGCACACAAGTATTTTGTTTTATAATTCAATTCATACTTTTATACACTTTATATTTTTCATATCAAGTACATGTACTCGTTACTTCTGTCATACAAGATTTAATAATAATAGCTTTCACAATAAAGCGTATTTAATGTACAATTAATGCATGAATGTACCTTTAATTCTAGATGGTTTTTTGATGCCTTGGGTTATTCCAAAACACATCCAGTCTACATCAGCAGCGGTGTTTTGATGACAGTGACCTTTTTTGCAGTGAGAATTTTCACGATGCCCACCTACTGGCACAAGGTTTACTCGGTTTATGGCACTGAAGACTTTCTTCGGCTGGGTCACATACAGATTGTTTTAGTTCTTACATGTTTTATTCTTGATCTACTTAATCTGGTCTGGTTTTATAAAATGTGCAGGGGCGTTCATAAAGTTGTTTCGGCCAAGTTTGACAAGAATCGAAATATCACAAACCTTAAGTTGGAGTAATTGTGATAGTTCTGATTTGTATTTGTTATATTCATTAACCTGTTATTAAAACTGGGCCAACTAAGAAACACAAAATCCATCATCAATTAGAAATTATTTTAAACTGACACTTCTATTACATACATTTAGCTTTAGAAACAGCTATTTGAAATTAACTTTTGCAGCTGAATATCTCATTGCATGTGACAAACTTAGGCAATCTTGCAGAAATTGTAGGTTTTTATATGTGATTTATTATAGATGTAAGCCAAGAGTGATGATTTTATTTAAAATTGCTCATGCAATTGTCATTTTCAATTCATCAATCAGTCATTGTGTCTGCCCATTCACAATTCTTGTAATCATCGAAAATATGCAGCTCTTTCACATAACTGGTTGGTGAGTTGCCTTTAACACGATGATGTGTTGCCTTTTATGCATATTTGTGTTTAAATCCAATTTTGATAGAGTTGTTGCCCTTGATACATCAGTTTTTAAATCTCTTCAAGAACAGATCCTTGTCACTGAATTCGCTTGGGAATCATTCAGTAATTTCTGATGCACTTTGGCAGGTACATTGTTTTTCATAGACCTAAAAGTTTTATTTAAGGGTATTTGTCTTTGTTCAGATGCAATTTGGTATGTACATTGTCTTATAGACCAAAATTTTCAGTTTAAAGGTCACCGGACACAGTCCAGCATTTTTCTGTTTATATCAGATTTGCACTATATGATTAAAAGTGGTTATACTTGCACAAAAAGAACAAACAAATTATCAAGTGTAAAAAAGAAGTAATTATTTAATTACTCCTAAAAGACGTATACAATACAGTTACTACCCCTTAGCTATGATTTCTTACCTATAGAGGACACCAGCCAGAAATGACGTACATTTATCCCCACAAGACGAAGTACATGCTTCTTGATGTCAAAAGATTAAACATTATAAACCATGGATAGAGAACATTTCAATGAAACTACTGAAAACTAATTTACTGTTTAGCCTTGCATGTGCAAAGCACTAAATTGTGTCACTTTCACAACTGTTCCATTGTTTCAATTTATTTTTAAATTTTTTGTTACTACAGGTAAAAATGAATCGATGTTGAATTCTCTATGTTGGCCGACTTCATAAATAAAGAAAATCTGCACACATAAAAGAATATAATGGAACAAAACTTTACTTCCTTATGTTGGCCAACTTTATAGGAAAACAATCGGCATACTTAAAAGATACCATCAGTTTTCAGGGTTGTTTGTTTTGTAATAAAAAAAAACCTTTGTAATTGATGTCCTATTAGAAAGTTTAAGGAAAGAGTTTATTGCTTGCTCCAAGTTGTCTTTATCCATCATCCGGGCTTCTATTTGTTGCCAGATGTGATCATAATTTATGTTTGCAGGACAAGTAGTATACACATCAATAACGTGTTTTAAATAACACTTTTGTAACCCATGCTATCAAAAAGATTATCATTAGCACTCGCAGTGGATGTATTTTAAAATAATGATTTTTATTTGCAAGATACCATCATATAGTTAACCTGGATACAATACAAGTTTGACCAGTTTGCACCTTGTAATGTCATGTGTGAATGGCAGGTGCCTTCAAGCAATCAGGTGATACTTTTGTCTCTTTTGTGATTTTGTTATTTGACATAAACAATACACATCAGTAAGGATGCATACGCAAACCCACATCCACTACATGCACAGATTTCATGGGTATTTTTCTTTAATAAATTTCACATGATGTAAAAAGGAATAAATGATAACAATGCAAGGTTCGTTTGTTTCATTTTATTTCAAATAA